TTATTATTATTATTAACTCCAGGAGATTCATTTACGGACTCTTCACATCCAATAACTTCTCCAAGATCTACACCACGATCACCTTCAAATAAAACGTGATCTCCTGTGTGTAATTCCATAAAAGAAACCACTGTCACTTTACGTTCACCATGGCATAATAAACTCAGCATATATTTCTTTCCATCACCCATAGACCAAGCATTATCACCATTTGTCAAGGAAACCAATGGTGAACGACTTGTTGTGTTGTTATTATTACTGTTGTTGTTGCTGCTGTTTTTATTTTGTTTCTGATGACCATTGTTGTTCTTTGATTTCCCTTGACGTTGTTCTTTATTGCGACGCTGAGCCGCACGTTCTTCACGACGTGCGAGATTTGAACGACGTTTACTTTCTGCTGAATTATCATCACTTGGTTTACCTGTAGCCATCATATTATCTGTTCTTTCCTCCTCATTTTCTTCTTCTTCCTCTTCTTCTTCCATATTGCTGTTGGTGTTGTTGTTGTTGTTGTTATTATTATTGGGATTTATCTCCTCCTCTTCCATTTCTTTTTCCTCTTTTCCTTCCATAATAACATGATTGGACACTTCTCTTGTATTTTTCCTTATTCTATGCTCTTGAAATGCGGACTCAAGTTCACTGGCGAGACAACTGGAGTGTACAACGACTGCTGGTGTAGTGTTTATCTTTTGTAGTTGCGGACGGCTTCGCATCTCCACATGTATAGTATTATTATTATTATTATTATTATTAGAAGTAATAGTCGTCGTATGCGTAGAAACACAAGTTCCACACATGACTGTTTGTGCAGGAGTTATTTGATGTATATCCCGACAAGCCGTGGCAGGTGATATTGTCATTCCCATTGTAGAAGTTGGTGTGGGTGTGATAAGTGTAACGGGTAATCGTTCCTTCTGTTGTTGTGGGGTATGAAATACAGGTCCCATATATACTGTATTGCCAGTGTTGATTATTTCCAATTCTTCTTGTTTTTCTTTTAGTGTTTCTTGTCCATTTCCCTGTTCCCCAACCGCAACATCCCCGCCAAGAGAAAAGAAGGGTGTCATACTGCAAACATTACTTGCAAGATCCACAAATTGTTGAAGACGTGGTGGTTTGCTGGGTCCATATACCGGTGCGGAAGTGGATTGCTGAGTAAAGGAATTCCAATACGCCGCACGCTCCATTGCCTTTTGTGTATTTGTATCTGCAGTGGCCAAGAAGAAATTTAAAGCCCCAGAGGTGAGACCCAGTGGGGAACCTTGTTCATTAAGGTGACTGTAGTATGGATGTAATTCCTTTCCAGTCATTTGCTTGACTTCACCTGTTGGTTTTTTTTTTTTTATTTCTCAAACAAGAAAAATTGTGTATACTTCTTAGTATACGTATATAAATATAGATAGACAAGTGTAGAAATATCTATTTTTTGCTTTTTTTTTTGCTTCTTCTTCCTTTGCTTTCTCTTTCTTACTACTACAATTTCTTTTTGTTATATATATATCTATGTATGTATATGTATATTTATGTATACTTGGGTCCTTCCTCTTTTTTTTTTAATCTTTCTTTTCTTTTCTTGTTCCTGTACTCACAGAGCTGTCTCTTTAATCGTCTGCGTACGCTATATAGTTCAGAAGGGTAAAACTGTAGAATAAAAAAAAAGAAAAAAAAAAAAGAGAAGAAATAATGAAAGAATAAAGAAACACATTATTCCTTAAACAGTCTCAGTAACAAAATATGTTACGTTGAATCTATTTTGGGAATTTATCCCATTATTTTCGCCTTTTTTTTAGTTTTACAAGGGGGAATAGTTCCTTACAAGCGATTAATAATAATAACAATATATATATATATATATATATATATCAGTCTCATTCCCTACCCCGTATTTCACTCAGAGGTAGTGTGAAGATTTGTACTTCTTAAACGTTTCTTTCCTTTATGTATGTATGTTTTTTTTTTTCTTTTTTGGTTGTTCTTCTTCCTCATTTCTTTTTCCTTTTTTTTTTTTCTTTCCTTTTCCTCATTTTTTTCTCTTGAGGATTTTCCCTTTGTTTTTGTTTTTTTATTATCGCTCGACATTTCCGTTTCGACGACCTCCAGGGACCCTCTCATCACAATTTCAGACGTGTGTGTGTGTGTATAGATAGTATCAACCTCTGAGAACAGAGAGAGAGAGAGTACTAACACACAAATCAACACAACAGCAGTAGATATGCACACCCACTAATGAATATAGTACTAAAACCGATCACACCACCCTCACACTACTATTGTTATTTTATTTACTAATTTCCAACAACAAATATCATCATCATTATCATTCACCAAAGGTTACTCTTCCTCCTCATTCGCAACATCAGCCACTGCTGTAGTAGTTGTTGTTGTTGTCTTATTTGGCTCTTCTGTGCGCATCTTCTTTCGCTCTGGTTGACCTTCCTTCGGGAAGACGAGTGGTGTTGCCAGTACTTCCGCAATATCCTCAGAAACAGCTGGTGGACGTACATCATCATCAACAATGATGGGAGTCTCTGGTGGAAGTCCACACAATACAGTCACACGTTTATCAGAAACAGAAACAGTAGCGGAGAAACGTGCGGTAATGTGATGTTCACCTTTTATACGCATAACGGGTAAGGGATCAATTACATTTTGCTTTCGCAGCATTGCTACAGCCATACGTGTTTTTAGTGGATTATCTACATGGTTAAGACTGAATGGAAAACATTGATGTTTCTCTGTAATCTCTTGTAGGGATGCATGTACAGATCGTACACGGGCATCATTTTGAAAATCCACTTCTGTGCGACGGAAAATTGTGGTGGTACCATCAACAGGCATTACTTTATATATAGAGTGATCTGTAAAGGCCACATCCAGTGTCCATACTTGATTAGATCCCACCGTACACTCAGCCACATCTTGATGTGGATCTTCAAGTGTTACCCGGCGTGTAATAATACAATCCATCCCATCCGGAACCCATCGCTTTGTACGATTGGAAAGAACTCCCTCTAAGGCTTGAACCTCAAAATGATTTCCCACACGATGTATAAAATCTGTAATGTCAGCGTTTAACATACCTGGTTGCATTAAATGAATCATTCCTTGTAAGGCCACTCGTGCTGCCTCAATAGCATTACTCGCCCCTTGTGAAAGAACCCGCATTTTTGTATTCTTCTCATCATTATTATTATCAGTAGCTTCAGCTTCCGTATTATTTAAAGAAGTAGAAGAAGTGGATTTCACATTCGTATCATGCGGGACAACAATAGTGCGGGCGGCGGTAACGGGATAACCATCAATATGACAACCAACGTGAATCTTCACAACATCCCCACCGCGAAGGATCACTGCCTCTTCTTCTGAGACTGGGGCGTGATTGCAGAGTGTGTGATTAACTGAAATGTTCATTGGATAGGAGAGACCACGGAGAATACGTTTTCCATCGGCGTCCTTTGCCTTGGAGAACATTCCACGCACACGCTGCAGCAACTCCTCATCACCGAGATCACACAATTGTTTGGTGTTGGCACCAGGTACACACGCAGCGGCAACGAGATTCATCACTTCATCAAGAGCACGACCAGCGGATTTATACTTTGTCATGACATCTGGCTTTACAATGGTTTCGGCGATATTTTCTTCTGGCTCCATATTGTTTTCCAATTCACTTTCCATAATGGCAATTTTCTGTCGAATTGTAGAAGCCGAGCGAACTCTTGAACTGCTGCTTTGCCGTTCCGTAGTAGGTGTTCGTTTCGTTTCCACCTTCTTTTCATTTACACCTTTCTTTACAATAGCAGTAGCATTAGTATTAGCAGAGGAAACAGGGCCTCGGGATTTTGTTTTGCGTACGCCTGTTATTGTATTTGCGGACTGCAGTGAATCTCGCAGTTGATGCATAGAGACGGAGCGCTGGCGCTTCATGCGGAGTGTTGGCCGCGCACTCCTGCTGCGGCTGTTACTGTACCCACGTCCCATGATGTCGGGAAACACACACACACAACTAGAAGTAATTTTATTATTACAGAGAATAAAGAAAGAAAGAAAGGAAAGAAAAACAAAGGAAATATATATATATTTTTAAATGAAAACAAATAACAAAGAAGAAAAAAGAGGACAGTGAGAGAGGAGAGGGAAGAGAGAAAGGAAAATTACTACAAATAAAACAAAAAAAAATTAGAGAAAAGTGCACATATGTTTATGTGTATTTGCATACCTGTATGCATGCATGATCCCCCTCGCACATTCACAGAGGATTTTCACTCTTGTCGCAATTGAATAAAATAGTAGAGAAAAAAAAACTTAAAAATACATGTTGTTCTACATGGTCCTTCCACCTTTTCAATTGACCAACGACGCTTTTTTTTTTTTTTTGTTTTTCTTCTTTACAAGAAAGATCCTGAAAAGGAAAACAATTCTCTTTTGTCCTTCTTTTCCTTTTCTTTAGATTCCCTCTTTTTTCCTGCAAGCAGCCCATACATTGGTCAACGCAGTACATATGAAACGCTCCTTATTCTTTTCTTTTTTTCTCTTGCTTCTTCTTCTTCCTCCTCAAGTAATGTCTTTTCTTTTTATTTTATTTCTTTTTCTTGCTTCTCGACATTTTGATTCGTCTTGTTTTTGCGTTCTTTCTCATTCTCTTCAGTTTTAACAAAAACCCTTTTTGGTCTTCTTCAATGCGCCCACACCATTGTTCACTATTACCCTGTTTTTTTTTTTTGTTGTTGTTTTTCTTTGTTTGTTTTTGTTTCGTTCTTACTTTCTCTCTCTGTTTGCTTGTGTTTTTTCCACCTCATCTCTTGTTTCTTTCCTCATCGTCTCACTCCTCTCGAGGTCGTCGACTGCGTGTAGGCCGTGAGGTCCTCGTGCGCTTTCTGCGTGTGGACCGTTGGCGTCTCTCATCTAAATCCTCCTCCTCGTCGTGGTCTCTATTATATCTCTCATCCTCAGCGGCATGATCGTCTGCTGGTTCTCTTCTGTTCTTGCCGGTGCCCTTCTTCACAGTTTTTCGGATGGTCTCATGATCGTCTTCTTCTTCCTCCTCTTCCTCATCGTCGTCGTGATATTTTTTCCTCTCGTAGTGTTGTTCCTCCTCCTCGTGTTCTTCATCATCTCTGGCGTGTCGGCGATCACGACGTGCGGGGCGCTGACGACGTCGCATTTCCTCTAATTGACGCTCCAACTCTCTCAGACGCAACTGATCGGCACTAAGTTGGGACTCCTGTTTGCCCTGAGATTCATCGGGATGTCCGTCTGTCTTCTTCGGCTCATTTGAGGCCCCCTGGGTCTGATCTCTCGTTTGTTTTTCCCCCTGCGGCTCTTGTTGTTGTGGTTGTTGTTGTTGTTGTGGTCCTTGCTGTTGTTGTTCTTGTGAGGGTTGTTGTTGTTGTTGCTGCTGCTGCTGTTGTTCTTGTGAGGGTTGTTGCTGTTGTTGTTGTTGTTGTTGTTTCTGAGCTATTTGTTCTTGGTACTTCTGGCGAAGCTCCTCTAACTGCTCCTCTTGACGTTGGAGATCTTTTTGCTGTTGTTCGGAGAGTTTCTCATGGTGTTGTTGTTGTTGTTCTTCATGGTGTTCTTGTTTTTCATGTTGTTGTTCTTGTTCTCCTTCATGTTGTTGGTCTTTTAAACGTTCTTGTCGTTGTTGTTGATGGAGTTCTTCTTGATACTTCTGGTGAAGCTCATCCTGCATTTGACGTTCTCGTTCCCTTTCTAGATGACGTTCGTACTGTGATTTATCATTTTTGTGTTTATCTGCCTCTTCAATAGAGGTGGTGGTGTCGTACACATCATGATCATACTTCTCTCCCTCCACTGGCATAGTGTGTACAAAGATAATATCATGATTATCCGTCACTCCACCAGTCTCTGCGCTTAATCCAATATAATATTCCTTATTCTTGGTATCCAGGTGTACATCCACAACGGTGGTACACAGCACTTCATCTTCTTCTCCTGTACGTGAGAGATAAACTTGCAGTACATTTCCCACATAATGTAAACGGGCAGTAGAGGGATATTGAGAGCTTTGCCGGAAATTATATTGGCAACTCCCTACATATTCTCCCTTGTAGTCATTCTGTGGGTGATACTGTCTACCGGGGTTACTTCCATCATTATATAATACATACACCGCCGGGTTATCTCGCATTCCATCATTATCATAGGTATCAAATATCACACCAATTCCTGTAAACTTCATAGGCCTTCCCAAAAGAGGTCCATTAATGACGGGAGTTTCTGTTGTAATCCACAAAGCAAATCCATCAGCCCCACCCGAACGTCCACCGTGTACGTGAAAACCCACCACAATCTCAAATGACGGCATATCCAACACTTCTGTATTCCATAAATGCCCCACATGGCCTCCGCGGTCTGGTGTGAGGCGGACGTAATGATCTGTGATGACGGTGGAGCCGGATGTGGTCCAATACTGCAGTTCACCTTCGCCAAAGTATGAGCGGAGAAGCGGTGGGGTGAAGGCGTGGTGTTGAATGACCCGATCGGTGGTGCGGTGTTGTTCGGCCGGTGTGAGGCGAGGCACCGTGTCTGCAACTACAACCACCGTAGCCATAGTTATCGCAGAGAGAAATAGAAACAATAGTAAAGAAGGGAAATGGGAGTGGAAGTGGGTCATCTTTCCTCTCAGAGTATACATATATTCTTTATATATATATAGATAGATAGATAAATATATATAGATAGAATGAGTATCTTTGTCTATATAATGCTAATTCAAAGATGGATACCTCTGATGTGTTTTCCTTCTTTTTTTTACTTTTTTTTTTTTTTTGTTTCCTCTCTCTTTCTTTTTTCTTTGTTTGGTGTAATCCAGTTGCTGAATACCTGTGATTACTTCTACTATAGTGTTTTCTTTTGTTTTTTCTCGTTCGTTTTTTCTTTTTTTTTTCCCTTTTTTATCTCGTTCCAATTGTCCAATATGAACACTTAATCAACACTTGGTTTTGTTCACACTATCCTACGGCTTTCTTTATCTAACCCTTCAGGCAGGTTAAGTAAGCACAAGGGTTTTTAAAAAAAGAAAAAAACCCTCTATAAACATAAAAGAAAAGAAAAGAAAAAAAGAAAAAAAAACCAAAGTACCAGCACATTACTCACATAGACAAAGACAGACAGACAGACACACATAGCCTATTTCTCTATTCATATGTGTATATGAACGCATAGATACTCAAAAAATGTAAAGCGAATAGCAATTACGGTTTGCATTTATGTAAACCTCGAATCAATACCATTCGCTTTGTGAATGGCGTCCGCATAATAATAACCACAAATAATAATAATAATAATAATAATAATAATAATAATAATAATAATAATAATAATAATAATAATAAACGTGCGATGGGGAAAGGGTAAAGGTGTGAGATATAGAAAAGCACTTCCACTTAACATCATTCTTTCTCCTTCTTCTTATTCTCTGATTTTATTTTATTTTTTCTCACCACACCTTCTCTCTCTCATACATTCTTTTCACCTCTCATCAACACTCCATTGAGAGAAAAAAGAATGGAAATAGAGAGAGAGAGAGAGTCTGTGTGTATCCTTAACATCAACAACAGGAATAGCAGAAGAGAAATATAATCCAATAACGTAGGGAAAAACAAAACAAAACAAAGCTACAGAAAAATAACTATTTGTTAAGTGGTGTATGAATTCCTTCTTCTTTAATGTCATCACTTCTTATCTCTCTCACTCTTTCTCTATCACTACAACTATTTTGTTTCTCTGTTCTTTTTGTTTTCTTTTTCTATTTCTATTTTACTTTCCCCATACCCATCACCCCACCTATATAGTTTCATTCTCATCGGTGATTTCCACTTTCAAGTTCTTACCAAAATCCTCATTTCTATTCTCTCTCATTCAATCAATCTATCCATCTCTCCCTCACAACACACGCAGTGAAAGATATACAGCTATATATATATATATATATATATATATAAACAGAGGCGCACATACAGAGAGAGAAAGAAAGAAAAAAAAAATATACGAGTGACGAAAACACCGAGACGCAAACATCCTTTTGTAGTATATAACCCCAAGAATCGCATATATATATATGTATATATATGTATATATACATACATATCCACAGAAACATACATGTAAATACATATACACACAGTAGGTAAGAAAAGATACATAAAATGCACCTTCTCAGTCCCTTTACTCTGATCAACGCCACCTGCTGCAAAAAGAGAGATAAAGTATATATATATTAAGAAAAGAAAAAAAAAACATGGAAGTATCACATGGAATTGTGAGGAAAAAAAAAAATCAAAGGGAAACAAGAAAGATAAAACAGATAAAAGAAGGAAAGGAAACACCATTAAAAACAAAAACAAAAAAAAAGAAAAAAAAAAAACACAAGACGAGAGTTTTCTTTTTCCCTTCTTTTTCTTTCTTTCTCTCTCTCTCTCTCCTCTTTTCCCTTTTCCTTTTTTTTTTTCTCTTAGTGTTTAACCTTTTTCTTTTTCAGTTTCTATTTCTTCTACTTCTACGCTTCTGCATCTCGGCGAGCCGCCATTTCTACCCGATACCGTGCAATCTCCTGCTGTAGATTCATATCCACCTGAATCTCATCATTAAATGCCTCACCAGTGAGTGGATCAACATGACCCACACGATCCACAACTTCCTGTAGGGCATCCAATTCAAAACGATGACCATTCTGTAGTACTACCGGTTCTCGCATTAATTTCTTTGTTAACATACAAACATACTCTTGTGGATGTTTTGTTTTCTTTTTCTTTTCCTGTTGTTTCCTTGACTTTGGATCCATTGTTCCTCCAGTTATGGTCGCACCTGTGGAAGATCTAGTGTGTGGAGGTATATTTCCATCGCCTCTTCCTCCCTCTGCGGCTAAAGCAAATGGCATCAATACACACAAATCCCCAAGTAATTGTCCAATAGCCAATTCCATCATGAGGGATTGCAGCATGCCGAGTTGTTCCTCCAATGCCTGTATTGCCATTGCAGACTCATTTACACCTTCCGGATCTTCTTCTTGTAATTTCTTTTGTAAAACCTCCACAGATTCATTCTCGGTAACGCAGTAGGTGGAGGTTTCATTAGATAAACAGTACATAAAGGCCTGAGAGGCGGTGAAATGTGCACCTGGACGTAATGGATTCTTATCCGTAGCCAATGTTGAGATGAGAGTATTAAACACCTCCACCAATTGATGGATCTTCACCGCATTTACATTACACAATACCTCTACGGCTAATACAAGAACCAACATTCCCACATATTCTCCACATAATAATCGTTCTATTCCCTGCACTTGTACAATAAGGGATGCTAACGATGAGGCAAAGGTATCTTGCACGGGTTGAGATGGGCGATAAGTGGCAAATCGCAGTAACCGCATCACCGCAATCGCAACATTCATAAATGGATTATTCTGCGACTCACATGATGGATTCCGTGTTTTTTCCCAACAACGTAGCGCGAGACGAATAAAGGGTGTAAGTGTAGTGCCCATAAAGGATTGATATTGGGCAAGAAAGGATTGTTGATATCCACGTACAAGATCCATTCGCTCACAGAAGTCAGCGACATTTAATAACATCACTGCCATGTAACGAAAGACTACAGTGAAGTGTGTGGCCACACCATCCCGTATTGTATCTGATAAAGGTGTTTGACCATCAATAACGGCAGAAAGTTGATTCTCACGAACAGCAGTAACCCAACGTTCATTTAATTCCGCAAAGAGTCCCTGCAATGCATTCTGTTGAGTGAGGTGAATAAGCAATGCGGTGATGCGTTCCTGAAAGGCTGTTATCTTTGTTGTTTCAATAGCTTGATGTTCCTCTGGGGCGGTAAAGTATGTACCAGGTGTTGTTAATTCATACATACAACGCATACAAGCATGAATAATTTCCCACTCCAATGATCTGTTTTTAATAATAGATTGTAAAGTAGCCACCAGTCGAGTATCATCTCCAGCGTAGAGTTGTTGAAGAAGATCACCTGCCTTTAATCGTGTATAGCCCGTACAACGAAAGAGTAGTATGGTTAACATCTCATGTTGACGATCCACAGTTCCTGTTCCCTGATCTTCTAAAAACTTTTCAAAGGATTCATTTAATTTATTTACGGCGTCAAATAAATCTTCGGAGCGAAATTTACTATTAGAGACATGTGACAGATTATATAAAGACTCCAAAGCCATAATTCGTGTATTTGTATTTTTACTGTCATCATTTGCAATAGTTACAAGTCGAGATAATACCTCTTTACACATTGCCTGTTGTTTTTCAATGAGTGTCTGAGCCACACCTGGCTCTAAGAAACTGGAGGATAGGCATGAAAGTGTAGAGGCCGCAATAGCCTCGGGACTCTGATCAAGGAATGTTGAAATGGCACTGTGAACCGTCATTCCTTATTATTCTTAATATTATTAATATAAATAATATTATTAATATAAATAATATTATTATTATTTTCTTCTATCGTTCTTTCTTTCTATCTTTCTATCTTCTTCTTGTTTTTCTTTTTCGATGCCGTATACTTTGGATTAAAAAAAAAAAGCTCTCGTAAAAGGGAGTCTCTTTTTTTTTTTGTTCTTTTTCAATGTTTGGCTTTCTGATTTTCTTTTTTCTTTCTTTCTTCAGATAGTTCCTCCTATCAATCCAAGATTTTCTTTTCTTTCTTTCTTTTTTTTTTTTGATGATATCCCACTCCCCTCTTGTGGTTTGTTTGTTTTTATTTTGTTCTTTCACTAAAAAGGGTGAATTGATAAATGAATAATGATGCAAAACTAATAGAGTTACTAACGACCGTAGTGGTCCTTAAGTTCTTAACTATACCAAAATAATAATAATAAAACAAAAAACGAGTTATCCAACAGAGAGAAGGAAAAAAAAAGTGAAAAGGAAGAAAACCAATCCTTAAATAATATATATATCTGTATATATAGCATTAAACTGATACCTCAAAGAAGATAGAGGACTCCAGCTATACAGAAGAAAAAAAACTTCATAATTCAAATAATAATAATAAAAACACTAATAATAAAAGAACTATCATTAAAATTTGAATGCTCCAACGTAGCATCAGAAATTAGCACATACTGTATAAGTTTTAACTTTTGGCACCAGCGAATAGTAACTAACAGCAAATTGACATGAACTCCTCATTATTATTATTTTTTTTTTGTTTTTCTTTTTTTTTTTTCTTATTTCACATTTACACAAAAAGAGAATCCATCATAACAACAAGAAGAACATGATCGATAATACAAAGCAAACAATCCTTACTATACTTACTTCTTCCTCTTCTCTGCAGTGTTAGATCCAGAACACAAGTGTGTGTGTGTGTATGTGTGTAGTCAAAAAGTGCTTTCGTTTATATACATACATATATATATATACCTATAATAATAAACTGTTTAACTTCATTGCTTTCCGTTGAACTTTTTACTTCACATATTCCCAATTTTTTGATTTGTTTTTTTTTTTTTTTTATTTCTTTCGTTACTTCCTTCCCTCTTCAATTATCATTACTTTCTCCCTTTTTCTCCATAATAAAATATATACACCTTGTGTACAGCAGACCGTACGAAATCTCTCATTATTATGACCTCCACCCACCCCATTAAATCTCTTTTGTAAAGAATTACACGCTCATTTCCCTAATGAATTCCTCTCGGAATATATAAGTGTATAAAGTGACATTCTTATACCCATATATGTAAGAAACACGCCTATCATCATTATAGGTGTTATCTCCTCCAAAAAGTAAAAAAGGAAGGAAGGAAGGAAGGAAGGAAAAGAAAAAACAACTAACAATAAAGGAAAAACAAAAGAAAAAAAAAATCCGAACTAAACTAAACTAAACTACTAAAAAAAACAAAGGTATACCACATATATATATATATATATATTCACTCTCAATCACTTACTCTCTCCTTCTTCTTCTCCATCTTCCCTATCCATATTCTCTACTACACTACGCAGTTGCCCTTCCACCAACACCCGCTGTCGAGACCAGAAGGCCGTCTCCTGCGATCGAAACGGCAATCGCTCGGGCGGCACCGGCAGAAACCACGCGGGAAACACCGGGCCAACGCCAAACACAATCTGCATATTCCGCAATGAACACGATCGACTGGCAGCCTCACCGTAGACATCAACATTATCCTCCAATTCCCCCGGTATATAGGCATATCCAGTCTCAAGAGGGCGTGTTGTCTGTATACGTTGTCTTTCTTCTTCTTGAATGACTCGCAGTGTACTGTCGCCGCGAGATAATAACCAGAGATTCTCTAAAAAGAAGACAAATAGCGCCAGACTAAAGAAGGAAGTGAAAATAATAATAATAAAAAAAAACAAATCATTGTCAAACGGGCTATTTATATAACAACGCTCTTGAGAACTGCAGACCAAAAATTGGACTGGTACCGAACCTAATGCCAGAGACAAGTATCCAATAAAGAGAATGAAGTATTTGTGATTACTATAGCCAATACAACGTGAAAGCCAAACACAGTGATGATCCATATGATATATACACATATTGCATCTAGAGCAATGGTGTGTCTCTGATAGTTTATACACACGACAGAACCGACAACGTTTTGCCCCACCCAAGAGAAATGACATTTCCCTTTCAAAACTCTCAGGAGAGCGGTCAAGGGCTGCAAGAATATCAGAGGCAACGATAGCAATATTTCGATGCGGCATCCAAAGTGGAGTTGATGTATTTTGAAATGCCCAACGATGATCATGAGAGGAATTTACTTCTTCTGGTTCCTGTGCTTGTACTTCTTGTTCCTCTGATTGCAGTTGCGGTTGATGTGTTAAGACATTCGTATGAATAGAAACTTCCGTCACTTCGGGTATTTTATTCACATTCTTATCATTCTCCTCTATATGAGGATTCCGTATGATTTCCTGTTCCTCCATAGTTTCCCTATTTATATTCTCTGTATGATCTACAGATGCATTTACTACTTCTTCCATAGGTGATGGTTGATAATAGAATGCCGTACCCATACCGTTAGTATTAGTATTAGTATTAGCTGTTGTTGTTGTGTTTGTGTTTGTGGAAAGAACAGTCCCATCATTATTATTATGATTCTCTGTATGGATTGCAGTAATATTAGTATTAGTAATATTAGTATTAGTAATATTAGTAGTATCCCCACCTTGCCGTATGATATTCCTTAACACCGCCCGTATAAAGTCCTCCATGGGTTTCTCAGCCAACCATGAGGGGACTACACCAGGATTTACAAAGTTTAACAGACAATACGAAAATAGTACCATAAAAATAGAAAAATAGAAGATTAAATCTAAGCAAATATTCAAAAAGGTTGGGCCTTCAAACAGTAATGGTAACTGTATGCAAAACAAATTAAAAAACAAAAAACATAGAAAAAACCAAAATAAAACAATGTTGCTTATAGCACAGCAAATCCGTGAGAAACATCGTCGTATACGTGCGAAATCCACCTCTACCATATATCCTGTGTTGAGAAAAAGAAAGAGAGCACGGCACTAAAAATAGAACTACCAATAAAAAAAAACTACTTACTTGTATTGAAATTTTAAATGATCTGTTTCCTAACGTTCTTTTCTTTTTTTTTACGTATGTGTGTGTATGTGTGTAAAAAAATACCGTAAAAATAGTCAAAGAAATGAAGAAAAAAAGAAAAGAGTAAAAATAAATAAATAAATAAATGATTTGGGGAATGTTAAACTGCAAAAGCTTGAAAAAAGAGAGAGATACACTTGGGAGTCCTCTCGCCCAAGCAATCCATGTTGATACCACCTCATAATCACAGAAAATACAGAAACAAATATATATATACTTGTAGCGTATTTCTTTTCTTTTCCTTATTTTCTTATTAGTTACTTTAGTCCGTCATCTTTAAAACTTTTTTTTTTTCATTATACTCTCTTGTAACCTTTTCCCATGACCCATCTTACACCCATATCTAACACACACACTCTCTCTCTCTTTTATGTGAGTTCATGAGTAAATAAATTTTTCCCCCTTCCTCCTTCTTCTCGCTGTTAATCAAACCGATTCACCCTTACATGCAGAGAGCATTAGATCATCCACTTATAGCCTGAGTGAGATGTTAGTGAGGTGAGGTGATGTGATGGTGTGGGGGTGGATTATCTTTCTCTGTTTATTTCTATTCACCATCATTTCGTGATGGGAAGTGTCCCGTTAACTCACCAAACTGCCGCATCCCACTCAGTTGCTCTTCCACATGTGTTTCCTTCAGTAATTTAAATAACTCGACTGCAGGACTTGTCGAGATTGTATTTCCCCCTCCTCCATTTATATTGGCTGTCTGTTCCACACATTGTATAATTCCCATGAGAACTGTCCACGCATTGCAAGTATCAATTGGACTGAGAAAGTCATCCTCATCGAGGAGATTTCCCTCTTCTTCCTCTTCTTCTCCACTGTTCACAATACCAATACCACCTTTCGCCCGAGCCACAGCAACAGCTTTAATTAATGAATGGAGATGCGCACTATCGGCAGACCCCATCTCAGTACTATTATTATTATTATTATCTCCACAGTCCTCATCCATGTCATCAATATCATTATCATCATCATCATCCAATTCAATTTCATCATCCTCATCATTACCCGCACCCCACGCACTATCATCACTGCAGGAATCCTCATCGTCATCCTCATCATCCTCATCGTTGTTACTATGCTCACCCTCTGCATGTTTTTCAATCTCCACTGCAAGCATGACGGCTTCACATTCGGTGTATTTTGCCAAAATGTTGCTGAGCAGCACTCCGCGGAGTACTTCCTCCACTCCCGCTGCCGCCTCTGGTTGCTTAAGCCACAACATCACAAGTGATCCAATAGCCAAGAGAAATAACCGGCGATCGTAGGAACGCAACATAGATTGCATAGCTTCCCCTTGTACGAGTTGTACATATTGGGCAAAGAGAGGTGAAAGGGCACCAGCGGCGGAAAGTGTAGATACCGTACAGGCGGCATCTGCAAGGATAGCAGAAAGAATAGTATTTACAAATAACACAGCAAATGTGCGGCGTCCCTTCTCCTGGGTAGAAGCATCACCTAATACCAATAAGGCAGATCGTATTATATGATCAATAAGTCTATTTATTACTTCTATTGGTATCCCTTCTATGCATGGACTCTCTTGTTCCTGTTTTAATTTCCACATATTCTGTAGTATAGAATCATACATTTTTGGAACCCCAGAGAGTTCCCGAAGTCTCAAGGCATTGCTGTTATTTAACACCGCATCACACATTGTACACACCACTTGTGCAGGTGTCATGGAGGCAAGAGAAACTGCAAATGGCGGTACATCACAGATAGTATTCATTGGAGAAAAAAGGAAAACCGCAGGAGACACACAGACAAAATTATCAAGAGGTGGTAACATTAAACTAAAATAATCTACTGCCCCTTGTACAACGAGTCGATGAAGACATAGTAATAATCTCCATGTGGGTGAGGCTACCGCTGAACTATGTGATAATACGGTTGTGAGTAGCATCAGTGCGGCATCCATAAATCCCAATGTACTTCCACCTTCTTCAGACATAATAGCAAATAACATTGGTGCGATGCGTTCTTGAATTTGCAGTAGGAGATTACTTTCCTGCAAGGCAGCTTCAGAGGCTGCACTATGATGGGGGAGTGCACGTACTAAAGTGGTAAGAGTTTCCAAAACCTCATCAGCGGCCATAATAGAATCCGCAATATCCCCATCACATCCATCTAATAAACCACCTTTACTTTTATTATTATTATTATCAAGTGCTTGTACAACCGCATCTTCATGTTCTGCTGCTATGGTTCGTTGTAGTACTTGTTCAAAGTGTTGTACAAGCATCTCTGTTAATTGCAAAGCCCACTGGGAGAGACTGTCTCTGTAGTGTTTAATCGTCTTGCGTAGAGTTCGAACAACCCCTTCATTATCCATTAAACGCATGGCATTAAAATAATGTTGGATAATATTACTAATACATGGGGTAACCACATCCCGTGCGTATGGATGACAAATAAGTGGGGATAAAGACATACAAGTTTGCATCTGAACAGGAACCTCTGTATCATTTAAAAGAGGAAGAATATCAGAGAGTACTCGTTGAAAAGATTCACAATTACTCCATTTTATTTTAGGTGCAAATACACTGAGTAGAAGTACACTTCGTGCTCGTAAAAACCCTACAGGTGATTTGGAAACAGGAGCAATATGACGTACAATAATAGATTCTATCATCTCATCACTAACATTAACTTCATACATCACCTTACTTAATTGATACATTGCAAAAAGTGCGGCATCCATTACACGTGCGGACTCCACTACACCCTGCACTGCCGCCTCTGTGTGTCTAGTGAGTTGTTCCATCACAAACTGCAATACGTGTGTGAGTAGTGTATTATCATGAAAAGACTTGGATGGTACCACCAATGCAATCATTAAACTAGCGGCTCCCAACTTTGCACTGTATACATCTCCACAAGGGTTTGTCTGTTGACGTACATACTCAGCAGGGTTTAGTGCCCACGTCTCTGCCTCCGCTGCGGTGAAGGCAAGTCGTGGAAAGATTAAATTTGTGAAAAGTTCACCCGCATTTGGAGTAATGAGAGAAGTATATAAAGTACGTGCATTCACTCCAACAGTGAGGACTTCCAATGCGAGAATATACGCAGGTGAGGTTACACACCGTGAAGTGGCATGCCAACGTACAAACTCTAATGCCTGTTCTGCAAATCTTAACATGTGATGATCACAATAATATTTTGCTGCAGCCCGTGCCCGCCGTTCGCAGCTCTTTGGAGACATCAATTCCTGCAATAATCTTAAAGAGAGATTCTCTGCCCATTTTAGTAGTTTCCATGTAGGAGATTCGTGAAATGCGGAAAAGAGATCGGAATCATCTACATCATTACTGGGAATACGTTGACGGTATAATGGTAGAAGTGTGGAGTGTGTAATATCCAACAATTGTCCAAGGCAACTTTGGCAAAAACGTTCCATTGTAGTTGGTTCACAGAGAAATCGTGGCCAACGTGAGGCGGTGAGAATGTAAAAACATTTAAATGTTAATCGTAAACAATGAGAGAGATCATTATGCCATACGGAGATTGTAAACATTTGAGATTCACTCATATTAGTACTAACAGCTTGTTGTTGTTGTTGTTGTTGTTGTTGTTGAATTAACTCCTGTGTCCATGCCTGTAGTAACAACTCCGTTAATGAGAAGAGTGATGGGAAGAGATTTTCTACAAAGTCATCTATCACATCTGCATCCACCATAACTGGATTATCATAAGCCTTACAAGAGGCATATAAAACCCCAAGGGCTCCTTTTAATCGAATTGTTAAAGACTCCTTTGATTGTGAATAAGAGTCAGCTACTCCACGAAGACCATTCACACACTCGTCTAATATTTTCATCAGTTGAGGCATTAGTGTTGGCCAACGTTGAGGATAATCATAATTGATGAGTTCTTGTGTGGTAGCCAAAAGTTGTCGTCTAATAGATTCTGGTACATGTGGTTCACATTGTAAAGGAACAATACACTCTCGTACGGCATCCTTTACATCTGATGTAAAGTATGATTGACGATTCCAATCACTTCGACCCAATACATTACGTACACGTATAGCTGCTGCTTGTTGAACTTGATGTGTTATTGTTGTTGTTTCTCCTGTTTGTACATTCTGCGGTATTTCCTGAGTGGCAAAGTGAATAAGACGGATGATTAGATGTGGATCTGTGGAGATCTGAGCGAGTGCCGCCTCTGCCTGTTCACGCACCACCTTATCAGGAGAGAGAGTACCAGCAAATATCTGCTGGAGTAGCAAACCCTCCTCGCCTGACATTGGCACCTCCCACAGCAGAGATCACTTGCAAAGCAAATAAATAAATAAATAATAATAATAAATAATAATAGAGTTAGAAGGAAGAAAGAAAAACAAAGAATGCAGGTTAAAGGTGAAGCATTGTGTGTATGTGTGCAAAGGAAAGAAAAGGAAAAAAAACAATTAAAAAAAAAAGGACAGGGATAAAAAATAATAAAAAATAGAGTACATATATATATATATTCTTCCCCTGTATAGGGTAGATCGATTGATATAATGTAAATAGCCAAGTACGAAGCATTAAATGTTAACAAACAATATGCATTGTTAGCAACACTAAAACAAACAATAAAAAAAAGCAAATGAAAAAAAAAAACAACAAAAATAGCATTAACACTAGCAAATAATAATAATAATAATGGTAGTAGTAGTAATAAAAACCAATATAAGAAAGGAAGGAAAATAGACATAAATATAAAGACGAAACATTAAGTTGTACACTCGCAAG